TCATTGATAGACCATTAACCAATTATCGATAGGCATATTGACTGGGGCTATCTATAGTACATCTTATCCCTTTTGCTTCGTTGTATAATACTTGATTAAAATGCACTTCGACATACAGATTGTCAGCAAGCTCTTGGCATGGAGAGCGGCATTATCTCGGACGGACAAATCAGCGTCTCTTCCGAGTGGCATACCGGCAAATTTGGGGTCAACATGAGCAGACTGAATAGCCCTAGATCCTGGAAATCCGGCACCAAAGATAACTACCAATGGCTGCAGATTGACCTGGGCAATCCACTGACCACAATAACACGTGTCGCCACACAGGGAAGGGAGAATTCACAGAACCCACAGTGGGTGACTAAATACCAGTTGCAGTACAGTGTAAATGGAATAAATTTTCTGTACTACAAAGAACATGGACAAAACCTACCTAAGGTTGGTGAGCCTGCGTTGACAACTCGGCAGTTTTTATACATATTTTCAAGGCTTAATTTGAGGAACTGATCTCATTGTGACCATTTCAAAAACGAATGCAAAATTGTCATGGTTGAGAGAGTAAGCATTAAATTTCTCCCAACTGTATCACCCCTAAATCAAATATTAGGGTCATGAGAATGAAGGAAATGATCAAGAACTCGAGAAGCTCATGATTGTTAGACAAATTCTCCCAGTAAGTGCCATAAGAAATGTATAGAGAACAGTCTGGAGAACTTGCATACTTATCACTAGCGCAAGGTGGTCGAAATCACTCGTGCCTAGTAAGAACGATGGCCTGTGACACTGGCAAGGAGGCTATCAGACATGGTCCAACAACCTCAGAGAGGTAAAGTAGCAGTCTATTAACTGCTGTTAATAGACTGATAAATGCCGTAAAATGGGCAGAATAAACTTAGCTTGGGCTGCGAGCAGGTCCTCGTCATCAGAACGTCGAAAAAAACGTTTTTTCGAAAGCATTAAGCCTAAAGCAATTTTAGCTGCGATAAGTCTGCTAGGAGTCGAGCACTGATAATGATAGACTGATTTAGCAAGACGACGGGAACATCATTCCAGGACGGGACAGAACGGGAAAGCGCGCGGATAGTCTGGACACGACTCTATTTCGACTTCCGTTGATGGTGTTGCCGCTCTCTGTCCCCAACAGGTTCAGGACTTCATTTCGCTACCGAGTTAATGTTTTTCAGTGGCAGAAGCTGGCTAACCCCTACCCGACTCGTTTTAAATCTTCCCGTGTGTGAAAAAAACGCGCGTTTTGCAGAACCTTGCTTGGGAACCTGCTTGAAAGCTTAACTTAGCCCAGCTACACTAGAGTAAGAGGGAGGACTACAACATTTACAACCCCTAAAATTATATTTTTCATTCCCTACTATAGAATTTCTCTGGAAATACAGACACGGTTACCATTGTCTATAATGATCTGAGCCCACCAATCAGAACACGTTTGATCCGTTTTCGACCAGTAGTTTGGAACTATACAATAGCGATGAGAGTGGAGCTGTATGGTTGCCATGGTAATTAGAGCATCTTTAAATATTGTTGAATTCATCAAATAATTGAAGACCTATTGGCTTTGAGCGGTAAATGCTTTAGTGTCCAAATAGCATAGGTTCCTGATCAATATATCATTGACCCTTATGTTTTCTCTGCTCTCTGACAGAGTGATGAAGGTTTCCGCTTGAAACACATGATCCGTGGCCTCTTCCAATTCAAGCCGAAAATAAAGGTCTTGGTTGTGGTTTCACCGGAACTGTCATAATTCTTCTCACACGTTTTTATGCCGAAAACTGCTTGCGCTGTAGGCCAGTATTAATGAAACAGGAGATGACTGTCCAAATTTCAAGTGAAATTATTTTGGCTTTTTGAAACAGGACGAAATAAAACCTGGATGAAATGAGAAAGTTGTTCAACGTTGTATCAACGACTTGCTGTTGTTACTATTGTTGGTGATTTATTATGCTTGCAAGTTCCCTCGAAGATTTCCTGATGTTTTACGTCTATATGGGTTCATTCTCACATCAGAAGCGATTTTGGTTTACAAGGGGGAACGGGGATGATCAGCTTTCGCTAACAGAGTATAAAGGGGGAGACTACTTAGCCTTTGGGGGGGAGTCAGGTAGATCTTATTGCGACACAATCAAAATCCTCCGACCAAATAATAACCAGTCCAAAGGGGTTTCACTCTCTTATCGTAGCGTACCTTGCTGAAAGGCATAACGTATCAGAAAGACACAAAGAATTTGAACAACGAATCACTCGGGTCACTTTACTTTACCCATTGAAAAAAAAACCTACACTGATGCTTAAGCTTTTCACATAATAAATACGCTAAGCCTACCATTTACAAGCCGGCCACTTACAAATTTATTTCTTCCAGCCGTTGTTTGAGATGCTTACATAAATCTCTTTATCACTCGATACTCGTAGTGGCATTACGAAAAACACTTGAGAACAAACAGGCTTAGAAACGGCGAATCAGTGTCAGTATCTGAACAACTACATACCCACCCCTACCTAACCAAACATTTACCATAACTTGTTATCAATGGACTGTTTTTGAGTTAGGGGAGGGGTAGGTGCGCTAGCAAGACGCTTTCTGTAAACATACGGCAATTTATGAAAGAGTAGTAACAAAACACACGACAGTCGCCACCATCGTGAAACAGCAAGAGGCTTAAATCAAGAACGTCAGAAATTCATACATTATGTCCACTTTACACAATACTTATCTTCTTAATTGAGAGTGATTTCGTACAAGATAATCCTTCTTGTGATACAATTTATAAATTCTTTACATACATCATTGTCTCCCAAAAAGAAATCTTTCGTGATAATCTTCCCTGTGTACCCGTATACAACAACACAGCGGTCAAACGTCGGGCATGCGCGAGAGGATCAATGCAGGCCGGTCATTTCAGGTAAATTGTTGATATTCTCCTAACCGAAAGCAACGTTCCTTTCTTGTCATTTAGCCAATCAAATTTAGTTATTAAAAATCTGGGAATAACACAATGAAATAAATACTACGCGCTCTGCCACTGAATGTCATTTCCTAACGATCTATTGGAGAACAAAGACATGGCTAATGTACGTAATTCCATTCTCTGTTCTGTCCACCTTATAGTACATTTTGAAACATTTTTGCAAGGTTTTTCTTAAACAAGTTTGAACACCTAATGGTGTTCCTTGAATGAAAGTTCCATTCTATGCAAAGCAAGAAAGTACCATATGAATGTTCTAAATTATTATTTAAGATTCCTTTGCAGCTTTTTTTTGTTCGTTCGCTGTTTCCATCTTTTAGCCAACTTCCAGCTCAAGCTTCCAAACTTTACTGGGACATCAAGTGACTATTGCATCAAAAGCAAATTAAAGAACAGTTCTCTTGATACAATAGAGCAATTTACGACTGAGTGTCGAAAGTGATCTGGGATTCATTAGTTTTTGCTTTACTTCGCTTTATGATTGGTCCTCACGCAACTCTCTCGACCAATAAGATGAAAAACTAAATATATCACGACTTGGTCATCTGCGTTTTCCCGCGTTTGGTCGGTTTTACTTTTGAGCTCTGAAAGGTGATTTCCTTGGCTGTTCTAATTACTTTGGTCTTGATTTTTTTACGACACTCGATCGGAAAGCGCTCTATCGGTAACATGGTAGTACTTGACTCATCTTGACGCTATCTTTTCGCTATATTGAATGTTCTGTCTAGGCTTTGACATGTGTTATACTTCCAGCAATTTAAATTTCGCACCAGCAACCACAAAGGGTTCTTGCCACATTTTCCGTAAATCGCCCTACGGAGGGAGAAAAGAAAATGAAAAAATAAACAACATTTCTTGCCAAAAGTATGTAATCCTCTTTTAAATTAGTGTTCCACAGACCTTGCAGTAATTCATTCGGTTTTTCGTCCGCGAAAAAAGTATTAGGCTCTGAGCGATGCCAGCCTGAGAAAGGTTGATACTTTGCGCTCGCTTCCGAGTAAGAAGTTATTTTATAAAATAATTCAAGTAGTACGCGCGCTCTGATTGGCCATAAAACCATTTTACACGAGCGTATGTAAACACGGTTTTCGTTCCTCTTTCATTAGCTATTTCATAAAATCGATAAGCTGGAAACCACTCCGCTTCGCGTCGTGGTTTCCTCCGCTTATCTCGTGTTCTCTCAACCTCCCGCGTGTTTACATCAGGCGACGTAAACACGGAAACAATTTATATTTCTTCATTTGTTAGCGTAAAATAAAGTTATTTCCAATTGGGTGTCGAATGAAGCGCGTGAGTATTCCGGGATTGCTTTGATTTTGCCTTACTTCGGTCAGTGATTGGTCTAAAAAAACTCTCGCCGTGCTCTAAACCAATCAGAGGCCAAACGAAAACAATCGTGACTTGGTCGTCCGCGTCTTCCCGCGCTTTGGGTAGTTTGCACATTTTTACCGTGGCTGTTGTGATAACTTTGGTTTTAGTTTTAGGACAGTCAATCGAAAAACGCTCTAAAATGACTGAAAATAATTAAACATTATTTTATTTCCCTGGTCACACAAAGTTCATCTTAAATGTGACATCCAACGGGTATATCAAAGGAAGGTGATTAATTAAAATAATAAATACCTTCAGATAAGCCATAACTAAAATTGGTAGAAGCGTAAACGGAACAAGATAAAGAAGCGCAGGTTGGGCAGCTTTGTACACCTCAGATGCCACAGTAGCCGTCACTAAACCTGTTTAACAGGAAAAAAAGCAATCAATCAATCATCTGCCCAGTACTTTGATTTGTTGCTTATGTTATGGTAACATTGGAACTGAGGTCGTCTGCACTATGGGCAACCAACACAATGTTGATTTGGTTCCTATCCTGTCAACAAAAAAATATGCTTGAAAAAGTGTCACAGGTTTATACTATATTATTGAATCCCCACAGAAAGTTCTAGAGTAAAAATTGTAGTTTATCTTTTCTGCCTTTTATAATCTGGTTACCCTTTGACTCCTACGAGTGATTAACAATAATATATATTAGAATAAACGGCATGATAACCGACTAAAAAAGCTCTCAGATTTACAACAAATTCTCCTTGTCAACTCCTAAGGAAATGTCTAGTAAACGGTAAGGAGGAAATGCATATTGATGTTAGGGTGTAAAGTGTCATAGCAGCATAAGTGCAACCACGCATTTATTAGTCTTTTGAGAGATTCTTTTACAAGACGGTTTGAGGGAACTAACAGAGCCATTGAGCTCTCCCAAAACTTACCTACAATATATCCAATAAGAGAACAATGAAAATATGTTACTCTGGCTTGTTCTGTGTCTGCTGCTACGGCTGCCTGCTTCTTGTATTTATCATATCTCATTACAAAACACAGGAGAAGGCCTGGCATAACCTATTATAAATAACAAACAACAAATTAGGTCCAGAACTGAATTTAAAAATGAAAAAAAAAAAAAAACCTATCCATTTGTATTTGAGGCTACCTTAACTCCCAAAAGAGATTAACATACAACTTCTTCCTAGGATATCCATACATTGCCATGCAAACAGGTAGCAAGTATACTCAAACTAATCAGGTAGAAGTTGTTATCTTGATCTGACAACAAATTCTAGTTACTCATATACAGGAGAATGTGTAGCAGCTAGAGGGGAGAATTAACAACTGGATCTTGGGAGTCAAAGGGTTAATTAGCAAAGTATAGTTTACAATCCAAGTGATTGTCAAGCTATGGATTAGTTTGTTACTTATTATCATAAGATTGTTATCAGGTCAAGATAAAATTTATTTCGCTAATACCATGATATGCCATCAGATAACTTAAGAGGAAACACAGAACTCAATAGAATACGCCAAAATTTGCCTCTTAAATCCAAACATGAGGCTTCCTGGCTCATTTGCTATGGGTTTGCACCCTAGCAAAGCTTCAATTTTTCTAATTCTTCTTCTGCAATTTCTTTAACTGCAGTTCACCTGTGAGGATCAGTTTGTTTCTTGTCGTCATTCACAGGTCAAAATTGTGATTTTTTTTCCATTTACATGATGGTATACTTTTCCTTGCAAAAAATCATTTACATGTTTTTACTTACTATATCTCCCAGTCCCAGCATGGAGAATCTGCTTCTGTCTTGCATACTAACAAAAAAAAAAAGAAGTAGCACTATGTATGAACAGTATTCAAATCTAAGTGTTGATAGGATTACAAAATAAGCACATGATCAGCTTTTTGCCAGGTATGGGTAGCCTGTGGCAATGTGTGTAATTGCTGAGACAACGCTATCTGAAACTCACCTTGGAAAAACTAATTTTCCTGGAAGAGATATTTGTGGAGAGATATTTCCTACTGGATTCATTTTCAATTTATTTGCCATTATAGACACCTAAAGAATCAGATACAAAAAAAAAAAAGGTTAGTGTCCAAAGAACAGAGAATCTATGTATTCATCATTTGGGAAATGATGACGGAAAGTTTCTGGCTGTGGTGTATGATGTAAGAAATCACATTGTTACACTTATCAGTCTCCTACTCATGCAACGCCTGTGTCAGGGATTGCTTGGCTACACAGCCGAGTTTACTTATATTGTCAGTAAATAAATCTCTGTTGAGTTTTCTTCATGTCTCGGTCATATTTTGGACAATGCCATATGCTACACTGGCCAAAATAGGAAGGTTGGATTCTCTGCCCATAGACTACTTACAGGATTAGCGGCCTGCTGTGTGGCAACCTGAACCATAACATTTGCTTTAAATATGTAACTTGAAAAGAAAACCTGCAAAATCAAAATTTGCACAGCCATTATTAGAAAGTAATCATAAAATTGTCCCATATCAAATAACTTTTTTTAATCAAACATTACATCTAACTGATACATGATCATTCTTGCAGTGCCAGTGCAAATCAGTCCTTAAATGACTATAATTCAAAAAACATTTTAATAAGTAAAATCAAAAGGTATATTTGATTCAAGAACACACAGGGAGCAGGGATAGGGAAATGTTGAGAGCCCTTGCCTCTGACCATTGTGGCCCAGGTTTGATTCCCAGACCCGGTGTCACCTGTGGGTTAAGTTTGTTGTTGGTTCTTATCCTCCCAAAGGGTTTTCCCCCAAGTCCTGCAGTTTTCCTCCTTCCACAGAAACGAAAATTCATAATTCTAATTCTGATTTGACATTGAGATAGTGGAAAAGAAGAGCCAGCTCCTGGATTGCCTATTGCTAAATTCCCATTTACATTCTCAAAACTTGGAGAAGCTGATAGAACTATGAAATAACAATGAGGGTGGAGCTGTATGATTGCCAAAAATTTTGAATTCATCAAACAACTGGAGACCAATTGGCCTAGTTTTCCTCTCTCCTCATAAACCAAAATTCCAAATTCCAATTTGACCTGGACTCAGTGGACAAGAAGAGCCACTTCATGAAATGTACATAGCTAAATTCGCATTCCCATTCTAATAACTTTTTGGGATCAATATCAGTATCTGGGCAACTGCCCACCTACCTCTCCCCTAACTCAACAACAGTCAATTGACAACAAGTTGAGGTTAATGTTGGGTTAGGGGAGGGGTAGGGTGGGCAGTTGCCCAGATACTGATATCGATCCACTTTTTGTATCGCCACTACTTGGAATTAACTTACCCAAAATACATCATAAATTAAGAGGCCTATTAACAGAAGAGTGGACACTTTAAGGCTTGGTAAACGTATATAGGCAATCATGGAAACACAAAGGCCCATGGCTAACGCTGAAAGAGAAAAACAGAAAACAAAGTCATGTTATTTAATTATTAGGTTTACCAGTCTCATTCTCAAGGACAAAAAAAAAGACCTGCCTTAATGTAACTCTCTATCATTGTGCACTACGAAGTTCTAACATTTTGTTATTACTAATAGGTTGTTATTATAACAATTATTATCATGATGATCCCTAATAAAAGTAAAATATCAGTTATCATGTAGATCTTAGTTAGTGAATTTGCAACAAGACAGCCCACAGTGCCTCTGTGATACACTTTGATGTCACCTGCAATCTATCACTGAACAAACACACAGCAACATGGAGTCTATTTGTTAAATTGATGACAAATTTGTTAGTTAACTGCACTTAATACTTTTCAGTTAGTAGAGTTTAAAGTCTAAAAAACATACCATCCATGAGAACCCAATGTCCTGTGACAATCCACACCATAACTAAAACACCAGAACACACAAGTGACATAACTTCTGCTGGTGTAAATCGTCCACAGAAGCCAATGTAGAACCTGCAATAAAATTGAAATTAACCAACACTCAAATCAAAACGTGCCAAGCTGTATTTCTACATGTAACAAGGAAAATTATTGAGTTTCAATGATATTTTTGTACTCTATATCAATTAAAGCTAAAGTTTGACCACTAGACTATATGGAAAATTTTCAGAAAATGATGTAGCTGGATCCATGACAAATTATATTGAATAAAGGGAGTTAGTTTTTGAAGAAACTGTCGTGCTGAGATGGTAGGGACATCGCGAGATAATTATGGTAGGTGATATCCGCTAAGTTGATAAATATAAATTGGCCACCATAAAGAATTTTTAAAGCTGACATTACCTGCCTTAGCTCTTTGTCAGAGCCTTGCTAAAGAAACTCTTTTATGGTGGCTAATTCACATTATCAACTCAACTGATCAGACCAAATTGACTTAAAATTGAAAAGGCTGTAAGAATTTCAATCATTATAACCTTTTCATTCCCAGAAGTGAATATCAAGACTCTCTCGTTACAATATTGCTAACACCATTTTTCCAGCAGAAAGATAATAAGAAAACTATCAAGTAATAGGGAATATTGTTTAATTTCAAACTAATTCTCATGGCAAATCTGAAGACAAATGTGCAAAAAAAACATTTAAATCTTGGGATGAAAAGATTCAGTTCTGAAAGTCTTAAAAAATATTCCCATGACCTGTTACCATCTGGAGAGAGATGGCTATCAATTACCATCAGAATTTTAATCTAGAAAATATTTTTCTCTAGCAATTAAAATTAGATGCATTATTTAATTTTCAATCTTAACCCTTGGACTAAGATTGAGTAGCATCTACATGTAATTTCTCCTCACAACATCATCCCTGAATCACACAGTAAAGTCATAGGAATAAAGGAAATGATCAGCAAATAAAGAAGCTCTTGATTGTTACAAATTCTCCCTGTCAGGACCTTAGGAAATGTAGAGAGAACAGTAAGGAGAATATGCATACTGATGTTAGAGTGTAAAGGGTTAACTCTCAATACTCACTTTTGATTATTGTTGGTGAAGCAGGGTTTGGTAAGAAACTGACAAACAGGTAAAAGCACAAAAGAAAAAGCAACCATGGCTAGCACTGAAAAGTAACAACACATGCATATTAGTTCAACCCTTTTTTCCCAAAGTCAGTGATCAGCATCTAATTTCTCCCAAATTCTCAATAATACTCAATAATGATACTAATAATTTCTCAAACAAACACAGCTGAGATAAAATACAATGTAAAGGTGAGCCTACATTAAATGAGGACTTATTGCATGGTAGCTAGTCCTTAAGACATGGAAAACATATGGTGCTTGCTGCAGATCTTTTGTCTGAAGCATTAAGTTTTAAATATTAAAAAAAAGGCCTTTCTGGTTTACAAGTTGAAGTGAAACTGGAAATGAAAGAGGAAGTAGCAGTCTCATTTTGGTTGCCATACACAATCTCAAAAATGTCTGTGCTTAAGCATCATAAAGTTCTTACTTACCAGCTGTGCACAGTGCAAAGAAAAACTGAAGAGTATCAAAAAAGAAAAACATCACAAGAAGAGAGAATGAGGCCCCAACTGGAAGGAATACAGCTTGGGCAGTGTTGATGGTCTGGAAGCCTAAAAATGAAAGAAAAAACTTAAAATAAGGGGAAAAAGTGATATAACTCTTCATTTGAACAGGTAGTCTGATTGCCCAGGTGAGGTTAGTCCTGAGGAGGACTGTTGTTGGTAGTTGTGATGGACACTTTAACAACCTGAGCAGAAGTTATTATGATCAGGGTCAATCACTTCTTCATGTACACGTAGGTAGCAAGACAGAGTTTTCAGAAGGAAGAAATAAAAGTGATAGCCTTGTAACAGCTCTTTTAATGAACAACAATTACACCAAGCCAACAGTACTATGAAAGGGGAATTGTACAAAACACAAACATATGACCAACTTCTCATCATCCACACTTTCTTCATTCTATCCTAAACACATCAACGCCAGTCCAGACCACTGAGAATTTTTGGTATCTTACATTTTTACTGATTTAAGTTCATTCTATCAGAGTGGCTTGGTAAAGATTATTTTTAAGGAGGAAGATTGGAATCAAGGAAAAACACACTCACAGCTTTTTTCTAATTTTCAATCTCCTAGCAAATGAATACAATCATAATGCACACATCAATTTGTAGCTTCACACCCTGCCTCCCGTGGAGGGGAGGACAACCCATGGATATTTGACTGTTGTCTGTGCCCAGAAGATGGGGAATTTGAATCTTGCCTAGCTTGGGTGGGGAATTTTCACTGGAAGTGCCAACTTTTTCCAGCAAAATAAAAGTGTGGAGGTGATTAAGGTAAACAGTTCACTTTTACAACAATTGGGTCAGAGGAAAAGGTCTAAAAGATCTAGATTTTAAGGCTTGATCAATGTGTAGAAAGTAACCATCCTGGATTATACCTGTTACAAAAAATTGACCATCAAATACAGCACTTGGGTGAGGTATTTCAACACAATTTTTGCCCCAGAGGCAGGAATTTGAACAAAACCATCTTCAAAAGTTTAAATACTCAGTGAGTTGAAGCTTCAAATTGATAGATGCATAATTACTGTAAGTGTCATAGTTTAAGTTGGTCTCAAAAGTTTGCTCCTTCAACCAAAAACTTAAGAGGCTTTTTAGAAGGGAGTGATTAGACAGATTACTATATAATATTACACTTTTTAATATATACCATCCATAAGTCTTGAGAAAGGTGTATCATTCTGGTTTGACTGCTCATCTTCTGGATCTTCTGAATTATTATATGTTTTGTCCAACCCTAAAGCCCTGTCGCAAGAGAGGAGATAAAGACAATCAGAGGTTACTAATATGATAGTTTGCTTTGCGGTAGTCACTTGTAACATTCAGCTGGTGCTGGACAGCAGGTGTGTTTGCTTTAAACTTAAGCCAGTTGATTTCTTCTCATTTTAGGCAAACCTGAGAGTTAAATTAAGCCTTTAGTTTAAGCCCTTAGAGTGACTTGCATCTAATTTTTCCTTAAAACATCAACCCTGAATCAAACAGTTAGGTCACAAGAATAAAAGAAATGATCAACCGCTAAAGAAGCTCAGTATAGAGAATGTAGATACTGATGTTAGGGTGCATACAATAGAATACCTATCCTGGATTTTGTGATTACCCCTTAAACTACCAGATCAAATTTGTACTTCTCCTTACTGTCAATCATACAATTCTTAGGATGTTATTCAGAATTAAGTATCGGATCAACTAATTATCACCATTCAAATGGATATTTTTCTATATTCTCATCACTTATCTGGTTAATATTGTATTGATATTGTAAGGAGAAATTCTGTCTTGGTCACTCATAGGAGTTAAACTGGGTTAAACTACCTTTTCTTCAAGTTTCACTGGTGGAAGATCCTGATTTTTTTTTTTAAAAGACTCACCACAATGTGCTATAGCCATAATACAGATTATAATAAGTAACATACAATTAATCTTGCACTTGAAATTAGTTGTCCCTTTAGCCTGTTAACTTTCAAAATTCAAGTGGACTCAAGTGCATGACTTGTATGTGATTCATGGCAAGTTGCTTAGCCATAATTAAAGTCTGAGATTTAAATTCCTCAAGAGGAGAAATTTTTGTTAAACCTTGTAACAGTAATTAAATGTTAATCTTGAAACAAAGCTGGTCAAGTGATGATGGCATTGCATAGCCAACAAAATCTAGCTCCATCTTGATGCAGAAGACCCAGGACATGTCACAATGCAATACCACTTAATTAACCTTTTGTTATCATCCTTTTCCTCGATCTTTTGTCTTTTTGTTCTCTATTGTTTTACACCACCTGTGCCTTCTACACCAAGTAAAAACCTGATTCTAACTTTTTTAATGTCATGGCTCACACCTAGGACTAAGTCACTTAAAATTTTTCAGGAAATGAGTACCGTACGAAATGCTGCAGGTTTAGATACCTTTCTCAGTCAGGCTCAGCAAAACTTATTGCATTGTAAATCTGAAAACAGTTTGATCTTTCTGTGGCAAAATGAAATCTCAAGTATTCAATTATGTAGTGATTCTATTTACTGTTTAATCAACCTTTAGACAGTATAATATGATCCCAACTAGATATCCCAGTCTGAACAATTCAGGTTTTACTTTTCATCCTATCAAAAGACTGCTTTACCAGGATTTGTCGATTATAGATGCACCAATTGTGTAGACCAATAAAATATTTAGATTCACCTCTAAAGTTAAATCATTGTAAAACGCTGGCCTCCAATATCTCAAAACTAATTTTGTTCCTAAATTTTAAAAAAATTGATTTAAATGATTTATACAATGTGACCATCACTGAATGGCTTTTTCACTTTTATTTAATTACCCTTTTAAACATTGTACAAATATGTTTTTATAGGATCTCTTTTATGCGGTTCTATAAACACAACTTATAAGTGTAATCCCATTAAGGAAACAGATTAGAGAATATAATTATGGCAGAACCTTACATTCTCAGGTTTTAAAAAAAACACTAATGAGCAATATTATAGTTACCACAATGCATGACAATCTAAAATTTTGAGTCATGGGGTAAATTTTTTTCAATCATTTTTAAAAAACCTGAGAGAAGTTGGCAAGTTAGATTGTAATATTTATCAAACAGGTTTCTCTCCTGTTATCCAAGCCAAGCTACTGCTTATGTGGGTTAAGTAAATTTAGAAAAAAGATAATTAGCATTTTTAACTTCTCAGGATTGGCCTTAATTGTTCTTATAAACACAACAAAGAATTTCTGCTAGACAGAATTTTTTTTTAAGTAAATTATCTGGGGAAATCCCACTAAGGCACCCAAACAGGATAGTCGTTACTTGCAATCAAAAGATCTCTATAAGAATCAACTATTTTAAACCTACTTGAGGGAGTCAGTATTTTTAGCATGGACACCTTGGGATACAAATTATGTGCTTGAAAAGAAGTAGCTTTTCAGAGTCGAAGTTAAGCTTTCCACCAGCAAAAATCTAGGTTAGAGCTGTTAGAAAAAGCTTGAAACTAGGGTCGATCACCGTTCTAGTTGATCGATCTCTCCTGTCATAATCGAACATTTGGGTGGCATCACCTTTTATGACACCGCTGTTGTCACGCACAATCAGGAAGACATCGACATAGACTTCGTCAAAATTACATGCATTCGTAAAGAAAGCTTACCTAAAACTGCCGTATACGATAAGCAATATGGATATAACGATCGTGAGAACTCTTGAAGTGTCAGCAAACATGTAGATCCTGAAAAAGAAACAAAATGTGGATGAAATGGTTGCTCACACGTGTAGACGGCGTTGGACCGAGTATTGTTGTATTGTTTTCGCGTCACAAAATTTTCCACTCACGTTTTCAAAACTGCGAAAGAAACATCTTACCATTGCGGTTCTTCTTCTTCCTCCATGGCAAGTTGATAGGATATTCAAATCTTCATCATTTAACGTTCCTTAAAGCTTCTGTAACGAGCAGGATAAGTGATTTGTGCCTACATGAATAACAACGATAGTGGAACTAAGTCCATAATTCGCCCATCTTCGAAAGAAACAACAACATTGCGCATTGAATAAAAGATGAACTGTCACAAAATCAGCTTTTTAACCTGTATTTTAGAGTTAATGTCTGTCACGCAGTTTCAAAATAGGATGGTTACACTTAAATAGTTGCATCAGCTGTCTGCCCAGAACGAAACATCCATGCAAGCACTTGGTACAAGAGAGAAATCGATCGTGTTGTTATTTACTGACACTTGCAAAGGATGCTGGGTAACCATTCGGGTATCTCCTGATCTATTGTTCTAATTTTAGAAACATTTAAAAACGTTCAAAAGCAAAAAAAAAAAATGCTTTGTCATAATTCTTTTGTTCTCTTCACCAAAGAGAACGCGAAAGCGGGGAGTAAAAGGCTGACTGATATTAGCGCGCTGGCTTGGAATAAGGAAATACTCTTCCAAAAAATGCTCCGAACATGAGAAAGGTCAGGATCCTAGCCAGGCCTTGCAAAATAAGTGGAAGGGCTTTCGTGAGAAATGAAGAACAAAGCAACGCAGATGGCTCAGCTCTCTATTGTCCAGCCTGCAAACCAGCTATATCTTGTCTATTGTTAAGTTCAATGTACGAAAAGTTTTGGATATATTTGGCTTAAAACAAAACATGGAGTATTTTATAAGTTTTAAAAATTTGTTTGAGTTGGCACCATAATTTGGATTTGACAGCGTGAGTTGCGAATATAAGCGTTGTCACAAAACTATAATCCCAATTTTTTTTCTCCTGCTTTAAGTTCCCAGGGCGTACGCTGAATGGTATCCTAGTGTTTCCTGGAAATACAAATGATATTTACCTCCTGTGAAAGACAAGAACAGTGGAAATGACTTAATAATCGGCCCAAAATTTCCATAGCAATATTGCATGTTTTGATTATTTTTAAAGTGCGCAATTCTGCTCTAGCTCAAAAAATAAAAGGTTATGCAAGCATTCCAAAAGCAAAAAATCAATCGTACTATTTTAAAATTCGTGTTTAAAAATCCATAAATAACTAATTAAAGTATCCTGAATATTTTACAAATTGGCTAAACTTCAGAATACCCCGCAACTTTGGTCCGCCTCACTTACATGTGTCGGGAGGCTTTGAAGATCGAGGCATAACACAATAGACGTTATTCTTATTCAATGACATGTAAATGAGTTGCGGGGTATTCTGAAGTTGCTCCAGGGTCCGTAGGTTCCTAGTTTTCTTAGCCGATATAGTCTGATCATTACTTCCGGTGACGAACGAAAGAACTCAAACCCAGTCGATTGACATTGTTCAAACGCGCGAGATTGCGTTAGGCACTTAATCATGACCCTCATCAAACGTATTGCATCTTTCATTGTTTTTGTCGTCCTTCACTTTGGCAGTATCCAATGCATAACACCTTACGAAGAAATTATTCAATATAAAGAGGAATACGCTCTTCCAGAGTTGCCGTACAGCTATGATGGTTTGGAACCTTTCATCGATGAAGCGACAGTGAGGGTGCATCACTTAGGTCACCACGCAGCTTACACGAAAAAGCTAAATGCAGCCTTGAAGAGCTGGAGAGAATCGGTTAGTACCAAAGGCACAGATTACAAAGTTGC